ATATATATTCAATACTTTTCATCCATAATGTCATGCTGCAGTTTGCACAAAAGACTTTCACCACCTGTACACTTGCGTTCATGTTATTGTGACAATAAAGTGATTTGATTTGAATTGGTCATATCTTTTTTTCGTCAGTTGTACTGTAGGGTGCTGGATAACAACTGCAAATTGTTTAAGTCATGGAAGAAGAAGATTATGATAGGGACATGGATAAACAAGCAAGAGGAAGAAAACCAGGAGAGCTCTGATGATGAGAAGGAAACTGGACATGATTCTTTGGTGCTCGAGACATTTCACCATACATGCATTTGGGTGGCTTCATCTGATTAAAATAACATGGTTTTAACATAACCCATTTTTATTTATTTTTTAAATATGATTTTTCTTTATATGCTACTTTAGCTGTCTTTATGATGTATTCTCCAGTAAAGTATTGTACATGGTGTTGGAAAATAAAGAATGGTGAATATTCTGTATTAGAGATGGTGTTTGGTAAATACACCATTTAATTTTGTAAACAATACACACAATTACAATGAGTGTTTTAATTAAGACATGAACATTACAACAGTAATAATTAAACATGGGGTCAATAGATATTTTCTTGTTTTACAGCTGAAGACCAAAAACGCAAAGAAAATCAGTCACAGCAAGCCGGTCAAACCAGTCCTTATGAATAAAGAATGAACATGGCCTTCTTGTGCCCAAACAGAAAGACAGAGAGCTGAAAATTTGCACATTTCCATTGATATGTCTGTATTCAAGCAATGCAGTAATGTGTGGTACAGCATTGATGTTGACCTCTCAAAAGCAGCAGTTATAGTTACTTCAAGTCAGCAGTTATCATTTTTCACATATACATCTGTTTATAGCTCCTAGCAAATCAGCTGTGCATCTTCTCTGGAATTTGGGCAGGAAATTACTGAATATGTTGAGTACTGACACCTGCACCTGTATTCGCCAACACTGTTTCTCTAGAGTTAATATTGACTTATTGTTTTGTCTGTTTCTTTGAAGGAGGATGTAGCCAGTTGATGAAGATATCAATTCAATGGCCACCAAGTGCAGCACTGCTGCCTGAACCCATCAGTTATCTGCTGTGAAGACTGCATTCGCAAACAGCTCTACTGAGACAGCTCAGATGTTATGGCCCATAAAAGCAAACTTCTCAACTTCTCAACTTCTCAACTGCAAGATAGTTGTGGAGGGATTCTTTTGGCCCATACCTCCAACAACCTCCCAGCTAGAACCAATGGTAAGTCAAGTGCAACAATTATAAATAAAAATACTGTATTGTTTATTGATTTACCACACCCTAAATACATGTTTTGTCCCTCCAGGACATCTACACCAGGTGATGTGTGAGGAGGACCGTCAGAGACTCCAGCCACCCGAGCTATGGATTGCTCTCACCGTTACCATCAGGCAGATGTTATCGCAGAACCTTTACAGAGCCAAGACAAGTTCTTTCCACAGGCAATCAGATTGAATTGGACTTGTACCAGTAACACCACACACACCCCACCAGCCTCATATGCACTGCACTCTATCACTTACACTTACTGGACTCTGACTCACTATTATTCTGCACCCTGACATTCTGTTTGCACTAATTCATACCGTGCTGCACTGCAAAGGTATATGTGTACTGTGATTAATGTGTTTATTATTGTTTTCATTTCACGCTCTCTGTATAGTATAATATTTACCATATGTTGTTCTCTACCTGTATTGAGTCCCTTATACATGTGTGTTGCATATATATTCAATACTTTTCATCCATAATGTCATGCTGCAGTTTGCACAAAAGACTTTCACCACCTGTACACTTGCGTTCATGTTATTGTGACAATAAAGTGATTTGATTTGAATTGGTCATATCTTTTTTTCGTCAGTTGTACTGTAGGGTGCTGGATAACAACTGCAAATTGTTTAAGTCATGGAAGAAGAAGATTATGATAGGGACATGGATAAACAAGCAAGAGGAAGAAAACCAGGAGAGCTCTGATGATGAGAAGGAAACTGGACATGATTCTTTGGTGCTCGAGACATTTCACCATACATGCATTTGGGTGGCTTCATCTGATTAAAATAACATGGTTTTAACATAACCCATTTTTATTTATTTTTTAAATATGATTTTTCTTTATATGCTACTTTAGCTGTCTTTATGATGTATTCTCCAGTAAAGTATTGTACATGGTGTTGGAAAATAAAGAATGGTGAATATTCTGTATTAGAGATGGTGTTTGGTAAATACACCATTTAATTTTGTAAACAATACACACAATTACAATGAGTGTTTTAATTAAGACATGAACATTTAGTCATATTAAAGACATTCAGTTACATAAAGGCTGAAAGATTCATTAGAAGAGACTGCATGGACTATATTGCTCCAGGCACTACATGCACAACTGAGGGTGATGCACCAGGGAAAGATCAACATGAATCCTGTACTGTATTATAAGCAAGATGAGCATGCACATTACTGCTGTTTAGCACCTGAAGATGACAAAAATTAGAAATTTTTGACAAAGAGATACAAATTAGGTCTTTTATATTATGATTCTTTGCACTGCATGAATTGTGTGGCTTTTGCACCATAAACCACACACTGTCTGCACCTTGTCTTACTGAATGACACATTGACTTTGTGTGATAGTACGATGAAGTGTCACAGTATGTATTGGGTGTTTAAAATGGCGTCTTTGTTTACTGTCAACATTGTATTCTTGCTCCTGATTTAATTAAATAAATGGAGCCCATTCCAAAAGGCACTGATCTAGATATTTTTGGGGTTTATTCTTATTCTAAGATAACTATGACTTGCAACTTACATATTGACAGTTTGTTGTGAATGATGAGAATAGATCTGTGCCTTATCTACAAATACCACAGTAAAACTACGGTTACTGAGGTAAACCCATAGTAAGGGTTGAGGTTATTGTGCTTTATCTACAAATACCACAGTAAAACTACGGTTACTGAGGTAAACCCATAGTAAGGGTTGAGGTTATTGTGCTTTATCTACAAATACCACAGTAAAACTACGGTTACTGAGGTAAACCCATAGTAAGGGTTGAGGTTATTGTGCTTTATCTACAAATACCACAGTAAAACTACGGTTACTGAGGTAAACCCATAGTAAGGGTTGAGGTTATTGTGCTTTATCTACAAATACCACAGTAAAACTACGGTTACTGAGGTAAACCCATAGTAAGGGTTGAGGTTATTGTGCTTTATCTACAAATACCACAGTAAAACTACGGTTACTGAGGTAAACCCATAGTAAGGGTTGAGGTTATTGTGCTTTATCTACAAATACCACAGTAAAACTACGGTTACTGAGGTAAACCCATAGTAAGGGTTGAGGTTATTGTGCTTTATCTACAAATACCACAGTAAAACTACGGTTACTGAGGTAAACCCATAGTAAGGGTTGAGGTTATTGTGCTTTATCTACAAATACCACAGTAAAACTACGGTTACTGAGGTAAACCCATAGTAAGGGTTGAGGTTATTGTGCTTTATCTACAAATACCAGAAATAACTACAGTTACGTTGGGAGAAGCATGGTATATTTTGTGGTTACTGTGCATTGACTACACATGACATGGTCGAGCGACAGTTACGTTACTATGGTAACTGCAATTATGGTAACTGCAGTTTCTGCAATTGTGATTCCTGTGTAAATGCATTTTAAATGCTGCCTCTGTGCATTAAAGTACTGTATATAGTAAATATGCTAATGAGAATCCTTGGAAAATAAGCTATGCACACAGGGGTCAACGTTTTAAGTATCATACTTTTATTCTTAAACAATCCTAATTTCATTGTGTTTTATAATATCAATGCATATTTTATGTATCTCATTATTCATAATGCATATATGATAGTGTTTCATTAAGGTGAAAACATCTGCAAACATGAAAAATAAAGAGTTTTGTTTGTAATGCGAGTGTTTCCTTTGCTCTGTACAGTGTTTTCTTTTCTGGAAACCAAGTTTATCTGGACAATCTTTGCATTGCGTGCATATTTTTACACTCTTTGTCCCATACACAAGTTATTAATTTGATAATTCCTCAGTTAATTACAAACACACTTTCTAAGGACTTAGGCTTTTCAAGTCTCTTTGTTTTGTTGCTCCTCATTGCTGCATACTTGGGCACAGCTCTCATGCCATTTTATTGGAAGACATGAATGCCAGACTCCTCCTAGTCCACAATCCTGTCCAGGCGACTTCCTGGAAACTTTGTGCGTTGGACTGGACAGGGTTGGTGTCAGCATCACACTTTTAGGACTAAGGAATCCTGAGTTGTTTGTTAGATTATTTAAGTTTGCTTGAGTGAAAGGGAATTTGTGGATAATTCACAGGAAATCATCTACGTATTATCCAAAGCTTAGCTGTGTATTGTAACATAGAGTGTCACACTCCAGCTGAAACCAAGTTGCAGTTTGGAGGTGTTAAGCATACACACATACAGTGTACTTTTGCTGGACATGTGCATCAAGATGGGCAAGATTTTTGAATAAGTGTTAAAGTGGATATTAACTCATACCAAAATGAATAAGCAGCGAAAGGCTCTAAGAGCCAAAAAGCTTCTGCAATAACTGAGCATACATTCTACATTAACCCTCCTGATATTCCAATAATTGGGATTCATAAAGTGCATTTACCTTTACCTCTCAGGTAATACAAAAAAAATAAATAAATAAAAAGCCAAAACACTTGGTCAAATCTGCATAATATTCACAAACAGAAACAATTTTAATGATACTGAACAAAGAGAGAAACATTTCCAATTTTCTTGATAATAGTAAAGCATAAATAAAGCTAATTTCTCGCAACATGAACCCCAAATAATATTCCTATTGTTGTGAATCAAATGACTGTCCATTTAACTTTTTTTGCATAAAATGTGAGTTCAGCTCCTGATTGGAACGGTAACATTTATTTATCTTTCCCCCCCTGTGTTCTTCTAAAAGTTTTCTCTAATATTCCTATTGTTGTGAATCAAATGACTGTCCATTGAACTTTTTTTGCATAAAATGTGAGTTCAGCTCCTGATTGGAACGGTAACATTTATTTCTCTTTTCCCCCTCTGTGTTCTTCTAAAAGTTTTCTCAGGCAAGAGTTCAGTTTGTCATCTTATTGTAGCGTGTTGTACTATTCCCGTGGTTTGAGGTGCAAGGGCAAGGGCAAGAGCAAGGGGCTACTCTCTTGTAGTAGCCTCCTGCGTTTGGGCCCTGCTATGTGGAGTCCTGGTTGACCACTTTGCCTCCATTCATTGTTGGGGTTCCTGAGCTTTTCCTGGAGCGTTGTTTCTCTTCAATCTCATGCAGTGAAGGCTCTTTGTACATGCAAACTGCAATACACAAACATATCAATACATTAATACTCATTAATTTCGAATGCATTCATTAAGAGTTATGAGATTTATGGCTGACATCTTATACTTGAGCTCTGCATTTTGGATTTTTATTTAAAAAAAGAAAAATGGATAAATGTTAAAATCAACATGACATTAAAATTGAACATATTTTCTTTATATACACTCTTGGTATTGTTGTGTGCGATTTATCAGTGTATGTTATTCCAAAGGAAAAAATGGTTTGACTTCTTGCATAACTTGCAGCGATTTTTTTATTTTCGTGTCACAAATAAGCCCTCTTATTTTTCAACCATCATCGCAAACCACTAAGGCAAAGCATCACTTTTATCATCTCACATGCTTATTATTATTATTATTATTATAACATAATAGAGACATGAGGGTGGGCTCTTTTGAGTAAGACTGGTAACTACTCTTTAAATATCACCATGGCAACTGTTTAGCCAAGCCCTTACAATCATTTAGAGTTCCCTAGCAATTGTGTAGTAAATTGAGCCAGCCATATCTTGGCACCTGAACATCGTAGAATCACAGGTTTGGCCTCTTTTGATTCAGACTGCCAAACAGTCTTTATATATCACTATATAAACTGTGTAAATCAGCCTAGCAATGATTTAGTGCACCCTAGCAACAACATGAAGCCATATCCCAGCACCAGAACATTGCACAGACGTGAGACTTGGCTCTGTTGCAATCACGCAGAACGTCTCGGTTACTTGTGTAACCCTCGTTCCCTGAAGGACCAGTGACTGACGAATTGGGATCTCGCCCGAGAGTCAATGACATTTGGCGTGCGTTTCGCCACGCGCACCCCACCCGCATGGGTATAAAAGGAGAGCACGTGCAAACGCACATCAGTTTTTCGCTGAGGAGCCAAGACTTGCGCGCCCCGGCTGTACAACGGTGGTACAGCAACTGTGGCGACGGGACGTAACGTCTCCGTTCCCTCCTTCAGGGAACGAGGGTTACACAAGTAACCGAGACGTTCCCTTTCAGTCAGTCACGTTCGATGTTACGCCAGTCGTGACTGACGAATTGGGATCCGTATGGAAAACGCCACTATTGCTGACCCCCTCCAGTGCCCTGCGGAAGCCGGCAAGTCCCCCCATACCAGTTGGGGCGGAAGATAGGACAGGGCTAGGCAGAGGTGTCCGCCACTGCTGTTCCGTACAGTGGTACATTGGATAACACTGGGAAAGCGTACAGATCCCAATTCGTCAGTCACTGACGTAACGTAGAACGTGACTGACTGAATGGGAACGTCTAGGTTACTTGTGTAACCCTCGTTCCCTGAAGGACCAGTGACTGACGAATTGGGATCTCGCCCGAGAGTCAATGACATTTGGCGTGCGTTTCGCCACGCGCACCCCACCCGCATGGGTATAAAAGGAGAGCACGTGCAAACGCACATCAGTTTTTCGCTGAGGAGCCAAGACTTGCGCGCCCCGGCCGTACAACGGTGGTACAGCAACTGTGGCGACGGGTCAGTCACGTTTCAGTCAGTCCCTTTCAGTCAGTCACGTTCGATGTTACGCCAGTCGTGACTGACGAATTGGGATCCGTATGGAAAACGCCACTATTGCTGACCCCCTCCAGTGCCCTGCGGAAGCCGGCAAGTCCCCCCATACCAGTTGGGGGGGAAGATAGGACAGGGCTAGGCAGAGGTGTCCGCCACTGCTGTTCCGTACAGTGGTACATTGGATAACACTGGGAAAGCGTACCCAGTTGGGACGCTACGGAAGCCACATCCCGCACATAGGAGGTAACATGTGGAATTACACATATGGACTGGCCCAGGGCAGTGCTACATATGGAAGTCCCTGCGGTAGACTCAACCCGCCTGGGGTGAGATGACTACGCAGCAGAGATGGCAGAGGACGACTGCCAGGGAAAGACACAGGCTTACCATGAGGGGAGCCATACCATGGAAGAATACACATGTGGGATCACCTGAAGGGGGAATCATTACACACGGGCACCTAGCCCAGCACAAGGGCTGACCTTGGGCATGCACACGAGTGCTGAACCTGGCGTCTGGTGCGCCGCCACGCCTGACCGCCGAGGGTGCGGTAGGAACTCCAACAGGGTTCGCCATGGGGAACTTAACTGAGAAGTAAAAAAGCGCACATATCCGGTTCGTAGAGGGGAACGGCGCCACAAGCGTGATCGACACCGAGCGAGTCCGGTGTTACTGCCTAATTGAGGCGAGTACACGAGAGGACACGGGCTCTACACAGAGATTATAGAATCTCGCAAACGTGTTAGGCGTCGCCCAGCCGGCAGCTCTACAGATGTCTGCTATCGAGGCGCCCCGCGCCAATGCCCAAGAAGATGCCACTCCTCTCGTAGAGTGAGCTCTCACTCCGAGGGGGCATGGTAAACGTTGGGCCTGGTATGCCAAGACTATAGCCCCCACTAACCAGTGGGCAAGTCTTTGTTTGGAGACAGCCTTTCCCTTCTGCTGACCTCCAAAGCAGACAAAGAGCTGGTCTGAGGTCCTGAAGCTCCGCGTACGGTCCACGTAAATGCGCAGAGCGCGAACGGGACAGAGCAGAGCGATGGCTGGGTCTGCCTCCTCCCGGGGCAGCGCTTGCAAGTTCACCACCTGATCCCTGAAAGGCGTAGTGGGAACTTTGGGCACATATCCGGGCCCGGGTCTCAGGA